TGATTATCTAAGGTACGGAGACCATGGCATCACATATATTCACTAGCTTCACAATTCGCCTGTTTCACAACATTCACATTATGTGCTCACCGAGATAAACTATCCATTGATGAATGAGACAAAATCTCCCCCATACAAGAGAATCCCAGTTATTCAGACCCACACTCCTGAAAGCAAAATCTGCTCTTACGCAGGCAGTTGTTTAGTCAATATAAAACAATGGAGAACTATGATGTCATTAACAATGAATTTGTTGCTAAGCTCAGATAGTAACAAGTTCTGTTTTTGTGACCAGTGTTTCATACGGTCGGATCACGCGCAAACACCATCTGTGAATTTATTTCTCGCTGCTAAAATAGTCAACACTGATTGATTTATTGAGTCATAATGACTTTCAAAGGCTTGGTCACAGAAAGATAAAATAACATAAAAAGGCTATCTATTTTATTCGTTTGATTATTTTCTGTACTTTGACTGGAAAAACATTTTATTTTCCTCCTCCCCCCTACTTTTAATTTTTTGTGTTCGCCTGTTGTTGTTGGGTTTAGAAATACACTTTTGCGCGTAATGACGTGAACATTAGAAGTTATAAAATAAGCGAACATATTTTCGATTTTATTTTGTAAAATGAATAAGGCTTATTTACTCATTCACTCGTTAGGTCGGTCGGTCACTCAGTTAATCAATCAATCAATCAGTCACTTAATTAATCACTTGACTTGACAACAAGATTGGACATAAAACAAAATCACAACTATCTGTTTCTCTGTATTCATTTATTACTAATAGCAACAGTTTTTGTTTCTGTAATTATTGCTGAGCGTGAAAAGATGCTTTTCTTTCTACTTGGCAAACAGTGTGTTTAAACAGACGTCGACTGGAAGAGAAATAGACCAAATAAAAAGTAATAATAGCGAGCACAAACCAGAGAAGAATGGTTCATTAAGCGTCTTTGATCTTCATATGTTGAAGTTATTAGGTATTTTTTCCGAACAAGTATTTCTACTATCTCTATGGAGATGATGATGTTTAATTAGCTAACTTATTTGTTTGACAAAGAAATTACACAATACCTGCATGTGTGTACGTAATGATTAGAAATTATTTATAATTTAATCATATATATAAAGCTTTAAAATAGTAGTATAATTCAAACTTGAAATATAAAGTGTGAATAACTTTAATCAGGGCATCTTTAACACTGTGGGAAGACATGAAAGAAGGTTAACAAATGCGGCCTCACTTAACGAATGACGATACACACGGTATTGCATTATGATATGGTCGTAACTTCCACAGCATTGTACCAACTTTTAGCTTGCCCATTTAGCAATGCATGGGATTTATGATGCGTTGTTGTTTGTAAATGGGAATAATCAGTACAGAATGTTGACATTCAACCACAATTAACTGTTCCTTGTCTGACTGACAAAACAGGACAGGATTTCAATTATGGTCCTAAGAAGAGCTAATAAGAAAGTGGTTTACTACTGGTCTGCTTTTTAAAGCCGAATTACTAACGACGTTATGTATTTAAAAAGTAAGGATCATCTTGGAACCGATATATTTAATGTGGAACTCTGAAATATTGGAGTTAAAAGCCGTTCGCGGCAGAACAGTTGTACAGGATTTGCTTGTGGGTGTGAATTTACTGTTCTTATAACTAATTAACTAGTCAAGTTGGTGATTGGACTGCTGATTTCATTCACCGACCTGGTATGACTGACTCACTATAATTGATAAAAGATTATTTCATGACTCGAGTCAATCAGAACAGAAGACAGTGTTGTTAACTCACTGGGCGTGAGTATGTATTTTTTCAATAGTTTCCAAACTGAAGAATCAAAACTAGAAAGTGCTAACGAGACAGTAATTTATTAACAAAACGCAGTTAAAGTCTATCCTCTAAATAACAAATGGTCAATCAATAGTATTATTCAGGTTACAAGACAGTCAGTGAACTTCATTTTGTGAAGTTAAGGCTGTAGTTTTATTCATCCTAAAGCTTAGTCTTTCGGTGATCAGCAGAAAGCTACCAAACAAAAAGTCCTGACCGAATTCATCGGAAATCAGAAGTTCTTTACTTTAATTCATTCCATAGACCATTGGTTGATATGAATATTCACTTTCTTAGTCATTGACTTTACTGATGTCCTAAATAAACAAGAGCATAACCCTTCTCTACCGTCCCCAATTTCACTAATTAAAAAACCCATAAAACATTAAATTCCCCAATAATAACTGTAATTTATTTTGTTTAGCTTGTACAGTTCAGAAATTCAGAAATGATTCAATTTTTTCTACTTATATGTGCCACGATTTGATCACATCAGACCAGATAATTTGATGTAGCCGACTATTGTCGTGATTCATTTTATTCACCCATTGCACCAATCCACAAGAAGATATTTCTAATGAGTAGTTTGTATGTGATATATATATATATATATATATATATATATATATATATATATATATTCATGGGATTTTTGAGAGCAAAAGCAATGCTAGCCAGCAAATCATGCATTCCTTCGAAGACAGTTAGTTTAGTGGGAAAATTCGTTCACCAGATCAGTATTCATCATTTTATTTTCCTATGACTCTCATGACCTGTCAGTTCGTTTATCGGGGACCGTGCACAGTATTTACTACGATTTACAATCTTAATTCATGCTTACTATTTCTACAGTAAAATCTATGGAGTTTGGAGATGCAAAGTGGCGATACCTCATAACTAGGTGGAAGGTATTTGTTGAAAATCTAAACTGTATCTCTGACGTTAAAGTAGTGTTTTTATTTGAACAGATAAGTGAATTCTGTATCCTAGCCTCTTCTCAGCGTATATTTCATTGTTATTCACATACCTCCCATGGTAGACATTTTGTTCTTCCCTAAAAACTGTCTATTTTACTCTCAGCAAATATTTCAACTAAGATAAGTGAGCAGTTGTTTTAGTTCTATTTCATAGTAATTTAAAATCAATAACTGGCTGTAATTCTGATCAGAATTCGCTCTGGGACTGCAATAATCATCAAGAATTCAATATTGTGATCATTTTGTGGTTAGCGTTGCACACGCTGACCATCTCAATTTATATACTTTTATTACTAGACTAGTTTATTTGATAGAATATACATATTATTTACTAGATGTCGTCTAGTTAATGATGTTCTATCATTGTGTGTTATGTCAAATAAACTAATGGAATACTATAGTGTTCAAGATACATCTTAAAATCACTACTCAGTCGGAAATGAATCCCTAATATTCCTCGGCAGTATATACATTTCCCAAGGTATTTACCCATACTTTTCTTACTGATGGTCCTTGATAGAATTCGGTTGACTTGTTTTGGGAATAATTATTAACTCTGACATAATTAGTTGAAACATTGCTGAAGTGCTCAACTATTAGTAAAACAACATTCCATTTGTAATGTTGACTCATTTCTATAACTTAATGTTTGGTAGGAAATGTAACAGACATCCTGTGATCAAGGTAACAGGAAGTTTATGGGAAAGAATTACTAATCAACAAGTGTATATTTATTCTGTCTTCCAAAGTGAATGTTACATCGGAACAAAGCATCTGGGTTATTTATTCGAATTTATGTTCACTCATGTAATATTTCTAATCATCTGACAAAAATTACAGCCTTCTCCAGCATCTAATAACAGAATATCAGAATTTGTAAATTAGAAAAGTATCTCTTGTAGTTTAATTCATTATCGTTTCAAAGAAGAGAAATAAAAGAAACGAATCACGGTGTGCGGTATGAAATAGTCTTAATTAAAATTCATTATATTTTGCCATGTCTTACACTGTTTGAAATAACTTCTTGTATATGTCATTGAAATACTTCTTGTCTCTCGACATAAATTAAAAGGTGAAAACTGGGCCAGTAGGAAAAAAGGAGAATAAATCTTCAAATATTTGTTGATTTTCACTTTGAGAAGATGATCTGTACATGTGTGTAAAACTGTTACTCTTGACGAAGTAAACATGCTAAATACTGATTGGTAAGAGTGCAATATTATGAAGGCAGAATAATGGATTGAAGTGAGGGGAAATAAATTCTCCTTTCATCAAATAAATTCACGGGAAAACAAATTAATCAAAAATAATGTTACATCATGAAAATTTATGATTTGCTTTTGATGAAGAAAATAGAAGAGGAATCTCTATGATTGACTGAATATCTGCTTTATGTTTTACTTCTTTTATCTCTCGATTCAGTTTGTTGTGTAGTGTAGTCAAACAAAGCTTCATCTTCCTTTGAACTATTCAGATGATCTGAAGAAGAACAGCTAATCACATTTACAGGGAAGATTTCTTGCACAAAATTTACCTGGCATAAATATAAGGAGAAACACTTGTGATATGCAGGGTTGGAAAATTAATTCACCTTCTAAAATCTTTAATATTTATTTTCATTCATAACTTAAATAGCCTATCATCTTGCATTTAGTTGCAACACTTAGACGCTTACCTTTGTTGTTTTATTTTAATGTTTCTATTCCACATATGTCTTCCTTGAACTGATACACTTTTCTGTGAATTTCTTAATATTTGTGTTTATCCATTAATATCCTTTCGGGAGTAGGGAATAACAGAATTTACAACTGGAAACTTAACTATCCGTAATCGTTCGAGGGGATTGATCTTATGCGATAGTCAACATTACTAACTTTCCTCGAGCATTTCAAATATAGTAGATTTGCCTACAGGTGTACCCCTCTTCAGTAGACTTACATCAAGCATGTTCTACCAATCACTTTGTAATATAGCATAACATATGACATGAATACGTGCTACATATTACTAAGTAATGTATGCAACACGTTCAGACTGTTACTCATTGATACATTTGGTGTTTGTAGATTTGCACTCACTGTTTCCTTCTGTCTATTCTGATTTCAGATATATAGTTTTTATATCGTATTATATGAATTGTCTGTTGAGTAATATTATAGCTTCCTGTATTTTTTTAATTATTTCAGGAATGTCATTATTCGCCTACAGAGGACCCTTCATTAATTTCGAATTTTCCAGATTCAAACTCAGATGGTAATCAGTCTTCAAATCATTCACTGATCACTAGCAACAATATTACTATTCATAATGAAGAAATAAAATCCAATTTAAATTATACAATTGATCGGATTTTGCTATCAGAGCAAGAATCCTCCATCAAATATTCCCCTGACTCGAATTCAATGCTTAAGGCATCAAACCACCCAATGAATACTGTGACAAATACGAAAGGATTCAGCAATTCAACACAATTGAATTTAGATGACCTTAATGGGAGAAATCAGAGTTTTGTAAGCAATGGGTGGTTAACTAGTATCAATAATTCTCCTGTTAATTTCACATTACCGTCAACCTTGTGTTTTCCGTCAACGTTGCCTGCAGTGTCATCAGCATCGTCTTTTTCATACCCTCAACCAGGATTTCAATTTTGGTTCGGGATATTCTATCAATTGTGGTTGGATCAGCTGAATCAGACTCAATCTAAACCGATTGATTTCAGTCAGCCTGTCTCATCCAGGAATTCAAAGTAGCCGACGAGCTTCAGCCCAGACCTTTTTCACATTCCAGCAATGTTAACACTCATGGCAATGACGGTAATGAAACAAGAAATGATCCTTTTCCACTAAGCGCGCTGGTGAAACCTTCAGTTAATACAACAAATGATTGTGGTAGACTAGAAAGTTTCGCAGAAAATTTACTTGTATTACCGTCCCATCTGAAAGAGAACTCCTATTACACAGCGGATTCATTATCACTGAACACCAATTCTACACTGTCTCCACAGTCTTGTTGTACGGTAAATGATGTCAACAATAATAAATCTCATTATGGTAACAATGTAAACTCCGTCTCAGAATGCATTCAGTCACCTTTATATAAGTTGTATGAAAATTATACAAATTATAATACAGTCCTCTTCAATGATTATGAAAAGAATACTCAGTCAATCCCTCCACCTCCTGCAACACTAACAAATGACGGTGCAAATTTAAATGGATATGATTATCTTCAGACTAGCTTATTGACATTTCAAATGAACAAAACTTCCACTTGCAGTAATACTCCTTTAATAACGACACCTACACATCCACGTACGAAACTGGGCGATCAGCATGATTATAATTATTCTATATCTACCACAATTCAGTCTACTCCTCGTCAATCAACAACTGAAAATTCAAAATATCCTATTAGCAATGCACATAAATCATCGATTTTGCCTAATTATAGATTACATTCGAATTACTCAAGGTTACGCAGTAAATCACTGATTGGTGGCAGTGATTCAAGTGATAGCCTACAACAGCGTGGTTATAGAGCCTTACCATTTCCATTAACAAAGCGTGATGGTCGTATGCACTATGAATGCAATATATGTCGTAAAACGTTTGGACAGTTATCGAATTTAAAGGTGCATTTACGTACACATACAGGTGAGAGACCATTTCGTTGTGACACATGCCATAAAGGCTTTACACAGTTGGCTCATTTACAAAAGCATAATTTAGTGCATACCGGTGAAAAACCTCATCAATGTACAGTTTGTGAAAAACGTTTTAGTAGTACCAGCAATTTGAAACGCATTTACGATTGCATAGCGGTGAAAAACCTTTCGCATGTAAATTATGTACAGCCAAATTTAGTCAATTTATTCATTTGAAATTACACCGGCGCTTGCATGCGAACGAAAGACCGTTCATCTGTCCACGATGTCATCATAAATTTCTTGATTCCAAGGGACTGAAACAACATTGGAGAAGAGGGATTTGTTATTCTTGCGAAGAATTGCCTCCAGGTAACTGGAGTGATATGGATGAAGATGAAGATGTTTCTGACAATCAAGTTAGCGAATTTCCCTGTCCTATTAGTTTCAGTAATCAACGGCAACCACAAAGAAAACATTCAAGCCGAATTTGTGATGTAACTAGTACCAGCAACAATAATCTTAACTACATTACTTCTAGTACTACTGATAAACGAAGTGATAACGGATATCATTTTCCAGTGAATATGATTCCGATGTACATAACCCCATGAAAATAAAGATATGCATTCAATACATGTGTGAATTTGTGGATTTCAGTGAAATTCTCATGTAAACTTCGAAATTGATCATGAAATCTTACTGAGACCAATTTTGAAAGATATGTGTGCGCCCTTTTTCAATTTGGCTGTGCAACAACAAACAAACATATTTCCATCTTTTGCCAAGACTTGAAAGGCAAAACACTTTCACTATTCCAATATTTTCAATTTAATAGATACGTAAATAATAATATGTTCAAGTACCTGTCTGTACATCCTCCAGACTTGCAAATATTTGTGTCCAGTGTGTATTTTATGAAATGAAATACAGTATATTTTGTTAATCAAGATTTTTTCGAACCTAAATCTTCCAGGGAATTCAAATATTGTAGTTCTGTGAACTGTGTGCTCTTTCATATTTGAATGAAGTTCAGAACTCTTCTGGCATAATGACTTGGTGAGATATAACTAGTTCATTTTATTCAACCAAGTGAATATGTACGAAAATGTAAAGAAACTGACACCATCAGGGAGTGGAATAAAGCTACTAAGAAGGAAGGACTAGTGACAATCCCCAGGATACTTGTTTGTAGGAACTGTAGCTTTCAAATGTCACAGGATTTACTGAGTTAGTAGTATCGTATGCAAGATCACACTGTATGCTGAGTCGATTCAAACTAGCAGTATCAGTCGCCTAAATTGAACATAGTAGTTTGAATGTCGAAATACTCACTACAGAACATGAGAGTTTTCGAGTCAATCTCCGTACCAACTTCAAGTTTATGGTTAAGCATAAAACTAAAAGATAGAGATCAAGATACCACTCATTTGAATTAAAAAACCACTTTGAAATGACTTTGAAGTAAAACAACAAATAGTAAGGGTAAATCATGGGAAAACTTATTAAGGGTTTGGAGCAAGAGAATGGGAGCATCTACCACAGGGGAAACTTGTTTTGACCCTGTCACATATGATGTTCATCCTCATTCTGCTTAACTAGTGCTCAGCTGTTTAAGTCAATACTGGTCTATGATTTCGTTGACGGATTCCTCTTCTTCCCTTGAAGCTTTAATTATAGTCTTTATGTTTGCAATTTGGCAATTACAGTATGCGTCAATAGAGTCGATATAAATGCTGGTGCAAACAAGCAGAGGTTATCTTTTAGTGACTACCATCTCTAAACTGTAAACTACTTTGCTGATGGATACGAAGATGTCTCAGGGTGCTGTTAGTAGCACAAACTAGTCTCTTGTGCTTGTGACAAGACTTCATCAGCCTCCAGTTCATAATAGCTGGTACAGATGACTGACTGGATAATACATTACTATGGGTGGAAAATGTGCACCATAGCCTATTAGATCAAGGGCTTTTTAATAACTACTTAAATTACAGGCATGTAACATTAGTAAGTTAATTGTGCACTACGTGTAAGTATGAGATACTCTAACTAGGAGATTAGTGTGTGAGGAGCCCGAGGGAGGAAGAGTTACCGACTGAAGCGCATGTATGATAGAGTCGAATAAAATGCACAATACGATTTATTTCCTCTTAAACCAACAAAATTCTTGAAGAAATACTCGATTTTCTTATTTCTTTTATCACTCCAGTGGTTTCAACTACAAGGGTATGTAAACCATTGCTAATAACAGAATGCTATGACTTATCAGGCCAAGCAGCTTTACTTGAAACTTTCTTCACCCTCCAGATAGTTTCCAAACTGTGGTTCATAGACTAGATAGTTAAAAGTGACTTGATGCGAATCAAGTTGTTTCTGAATATTATATTCATCGTCTTAGCCACACACCAACTAACGGTTTTCGTCAAGCTCATTACGGTCATAATTCTGTGCAACAAAAGAATATCAACAGTTACCAACTTATGCTCAATCTTCCTCGATTTCAGTTGAAACCATTATATAAACGAGTAAAAAGTTCGCATTTCAACTGTTTTAACTTCTCCTTAAAATTAAACTGCTAAGGAATGAGCCATCCAACATAGCCTATAGGTGACGATCAGAAATCAAAGGTATCTGTTTGACATCCTCCAGCTGTTTGCTTGACCGGTTGTAACTTCTGCTGAAGATTATCCTTCAATTCAAAATAATGACTCAAAAAGTTCAAATGTTGCGCATTTAGTTTTTCAACTAAACAGTTACTATTTAGTGATATACTTGTGATTCTCCGTTGTTTCATTGGATTGAATTGTTCGCCCTCTATTAGCATGATGGTAGCTGCTTAAAATAAACACTTTTCTATCGATTAATAAAATCAGCAGTAGAAACCACTGTCTACTCTAAAACCTCTACAGTTGCTGATAGCAGCTACACTTTTATAAGGTAATCTAGACAAGAATTCGATATATTCTCTGTTGGTCGAGTGACACTTCCAGTCTTCAATCTCTTACATGAAAAAAATCCAGAAAATGTAGTACAGTATGAAAACACCTTTCTGCTTATAACATCACAGCACTGCTTAACTGGCTGTAAAATAAATTTTCAGAATTTTGAAGGATAAATTAAACCATGTGCTTTCATTTGAAAACTTGGTGTCCATGAACTGGATTCCGGGTAGTACTGAGAGCACTTATCTCCTGCAGAGTCTATGAAGTTAGCAGAATCAAAGTGCTGCTTCGTGAATTTATCATCGCTGGGGACATTTCTGCTATACGCCCGTAAAACCTGGACCATCTAAGATGAGGATATGCGACAACTTTCAGTATTCGACCACAGTTGTCGTTGTAGGATGGTCAGCACCTAATGATAAGTAGTTCTGAGGTGAGGAAGCGTGTGTTTGGGTCTGATAGAGATTGTTATTTATTGAGTGCGGTTATATTGAGACAGAATCGAAAACGCACCAGGAATACAGTTTCACTAGTCACCAAACTGATCGCTATTTGTCCCTGTGGAACTGAATAAAAGAAGCGGAAACGTGGTCAGTGTGTAAGGTGTCACCATGGGATGTGCCAGACTGGTATCTGTATGTGACCCATGAACCTCTAGATATAGTCCTAGAGACTACACAACTCAGTGTCTTGAAACAGTGGTATGCATTGCTCAGAGATGAAAGCACTGACTTGCTCATTTCTTTTGATGTCCAAAAGTAAGATAAAAGTAGTTAATGCTTCTTCAGATTATATCTAACACTGCTTCTTCAGTTGCCACTTTTATTTTTGGTTTCCATTCAGTTTTCCCTTTTTTCTACATCGTTTTTATATTGGGTACATTGTGGTATAATATGGATAAATTCATCATTTAACCTTTGATATATTTTCAACGATTAAATTGCTTGTCTCAGCTGAATGGTGGGAGCAATAATAATAAGGAAACAGTTAGATCAGGTGAGGTTTCTGAAATGGCTTTAGGTGCACTAATTTTTATCGCTTAAGACAGTTACAGTTATTTGATACATCTTTGTACCTCCTGGATTTGCTACTATTGCGTTCAGCGAAATCGAGCACCAAGGGAGGTTGAATCAGGCTCAATAGTTGCTAAAGCGTATAGCTCCTATGAAAGGTTAACACTATCTCTAATTAAAGTTCGTGTGTAATTTTGTAAATGAACTAGTACAGAAAGCATACCTTCTAGAAGTGGCTGAGTGGCCGTCTAGATGTGTAATACAGATTATTTGAAAACACTTCATACCATGAAAGCCTTTGCTGGATTCTTGATATTCTAAAGATGGATAAAAAGAGACAAAGTTTCGGTGATTGTCTGTGCTGACTGACAAGATTTAAAACTCGGGGATTCCTTTGCTGGATTCAGTAATTTGTTTCAGGACCACTGATTAACAGTAACTTGTACTTCATCCTAAGTGAAATCGGCAGAAAGATCTGGAATAGACTGAATCCTCAACAAATCAGATTCTACTAAGATAGGGTCAATTTTCTAGTAGGACAGTGGATTGAATTGTTCCGGAGAATGTATCAGACTTCAGTTTTACATGATCCATATTATCAGGCTTCTTACACTCAATTTCATATTCACTATCTCCATCAATGAAGCATTTACTGAGAGTCGTTTTCAAAATCTAAGGACTTATGGATGTAGATTTTTACTGGATGTCATCCAACACTCGGCTGAACTCCCGAATAATTTTGTGTTGCTGCTTCCATTCCTTCTTGACAGCATTGCAAAATTACTTCAAAATTCTTCATTGGAAAGTGTTGTTTTGTTTTGCCGGTCACCACTTGTTATAACCCCATTGACACTTTGGCAACATTGTTGTCACTTGTTATATCCTTGTGTTGACTACTTGATATAACTTAAATTGTGTGTATGTGGACGCTTGAGCAATGATATTCAGATTTCACCCGTTGATGATCGCTCAATTTCTTGGTAAATAGGAAACGCCGTAATATAACAGATGTATTGTTGCATGAGAATAGATACCAAATACAAGGGTTTAAATATTTCCAGGCCCCTCTAGATTTGAATGTCTGTACTGATTTTCGTCCCTTCAATCAATCTAATATTTAAACTTTGGTTCGTGTGGTTTCTGCGGGAACTGCAGTGCATAATGATTAGTTACAGAAAGCTTTAGGGATTTAGGACTTTTTATGAAGATTATGACATTCCTATTCCACACTACAGCAGTTATTCACCTTTACAAAATGAAGTAATTGTCTTATCCGTCTTAA